ATCTTACAATAACGCTGTGTGACTTTGTTCTACTTTATTAGATACGTTACTGCAAAGGACGAGTTCAAGCGTGCCAGAAATCACGTTCAGATTGGTGCCGCTTCGGTGCTTGTAGTCACTCCGCTGAATAAAGCGGAAGACCGAAAGTACACCGTGACACAATGCAAGGATAAGGTGAATATGATACAAAATATTTTCTGGATAATATATTGCTAACTCTTGTTGTATTAGACGTGTAGATAAAATTGTTGAAGAAGAAATGGTCTTTATATCGGAGGGCCAGTATGCTACCGGAAATGTCCCAAAGTCTGCGCCTCTACCGTGTTTGGAGCTCATGATGGGGCACTGGGCTCCAAATTCTGGCAAGCAGAACACATCTTTGTGTGACGGCAGCACGGCTCACGAGGATGCTGACTCTGACAGTGTCTCGTTCAGGGACGACACCGCCGCTTCGAATCGCAACAAGCGCAAGCGAACTAACTCTGAATGTGTCAAAGAAGGTGAGCGCCTTTTTAATACTATATATTTCTCCAAAACAAAACAATCCTTCCATTAATTATTGTTTTACAGAATTGCGTGCATTGGCCGATGGGGTCAAAGTGATGGATGAAATCATGAAGTCCAAATCTTCAACGGCTTTGACTCTGCGCTGTTCCGGGATGTTGTAGCACCGCTCTCACGCCAAGAAAACGCTCTAAACCTGCAAACCGCTGCTATCAATGAGTGGATTCAGACACTCAGAAATAAAAACTAGCTTTGTATTGTTTAGCAGTAGAGCAAACGTGCAAACTCGTCTCGTTGAGCCCTACTAATAGCACGCAAGTCGAAATCCGGCTTCATTTCCAGCACACTACCAGTATCTTCCTATTCACTCCGACTGATAGTGTTATCATTAAGGTCAATCAAGATATTGTGCAGGGTCATTGCAGACAAAATGATTCTTGTACAATTCATGATCGACTTTTGTTCCAGTAGTCTTCGTATCTTAGCTTTAGCATTCCAAACGCACATTCAATAGCCATCCGTGTCGCACTATGAATGTAATTGTAACGTTCCTGAATACGTGAAAATTTACCGCCTTCTTCCCGTGGTATGTATGGTGTAAGAAGCTCGCAACTCAGCGTGAGCCCGGCATCTCCAAGCAAATGACGGCCACGAGAAATCGTATTTTGAGCTGAAATGCCAATTGTAGATACTTGCCAGGTATTTTTGTCACTGTAGGACCCCGGCCGCATATCATGTTCCACAATCGCCGTCGATGATCACAGAATAGTAGTCGCTCAGCAGGTCGAGAAATTTCAAAAGACGATCCATCAACTGCTCCACAAACGTACGAAATGCCTCTTACATCAGGGAATCCTCCCATAATTTCTCTCCACCCAGCGCTTGTAGACGGCATTTTGATAAAATCCTCAGCATGCATGCAAATAAAACGAAGCAACTCGTTTATCGTAGCAGCAGTGTGGTGCTGGGATATACCTAAAGCAAGGCCTGCATCCTTCATACTTCCAGACAGCGCTAGATCTAGTAATAATAAGCCCATTTTCTTTTCAAATGAGTGATCTCGCCCGTCAAGTAGGTGAGGAGGGGCATGAGGGCGGAAAAGCTCGAAAATTTTGACGAAGCTGCGCTGAGAACAGCGCAAATTACCTCAAAGCCAATTATCACAGCACGGAGATGCCAATAGCGCATCAAAATCAAGTTTTGTTACCGTTAATTTATTTTCATTGTACCCCGAAGCCGTCCCGTGGCCGCGGCGATCGCTCCCGCATACACCGTCACCAGAAGTAGCCATGCTGCAGCTTCCTCACCCCATCGTGGCGCCCCATAGCAGCCACAATGTTGTTTTGGTGTCTTTTGTAAATCAGTGCATATCTCGGAAATATTATCCGCCCTTTATTTCCACCCCCAAAGGGGAGTAAACAGCTTGTAGGGGAATAAACCGATGGCCAATCAGAATGCATCTCCTTATTTCCCAAACTACGACCCCGACGGAGAAATCAGGGCCTAAGCTACGTCTGGATTACACAAAGTAAACTTTTTATAAATCGCTTATTACAAGGTTTAATCTCGCGAGCAAGCGTCCACCAAAACATTGATCCAGCTTTCGCTTCATTCCTTAGGAATATGCTAAGGGGAACGATAGTCGTATTTTAATCTGCTTGAAAAGGATCCTGGTGTATCTGTAGATCTTAACGCTCGCGAGACTTCGGCTTGTGCTAGCAGCGCCTGAATATGGAGTTATTCACGTCTTAGCTCTTACAAGCTAACCTTCTTTAGTATCGATGACATGCCATTCTTTGTTAGGGGCCTCATATGCGGGTCTCCAGCACTGCCAAACGACACGGATTGTTCCTGATGGTAGCACGAACGCCTTGTGAGGTCGATGAAACGAGCCGTTTGTGGTATAGTAGAGCACACAAATACCTTCAGATGTGGATTCCTAGCATAATTCACAACGAATCGGCGCTTGTATGACCTGCATAGAGGGTGGTCCCCTTCCGCCCAGGTGACTCGCTTCCACTGAGTTCCGAATAGCCAACTCAGAGCACTTCCGAGCTCCGCCGAGTTCGGCTCGCTCGAGCTCGTTCACAAAACCCTGTGCCTACATCGAAGGATGAGCGACGGCGCACGAGCGCTTTTACAGGTCACGCGCGTAGAGGCAGCTCATCTAGAGGTGGCACAGCACCCGGGCCATCCTACGTACCGACCCGCTGAGCTCGCGGGGCTTTCTTTCGCGCATAGCGAGACCTTTGTCCTACCCGAACCACCTAATCTCTTCGCGCTATTAGTCAATACCCTACAAGTTATGCATCTCGGGTATCAACGACAGGCATAGATTAGCCCCATGCAGGATCTTACCGGAAGCGTGTATACGTCTCTTGGACTAGGAAAATTCTTCCCTCTTATCTTATGAAATCCCTTTTGGTCCTTCTTGTATAATCATTTATTTTTTTTTACTAATATTTATTGAAATGGAGCCGTTTCGGATCTCAGTCGACCCTTCCGTTGCGACCGTTGAGATCAGCGGCTTTCTGAAAAGCAATATCCGGACAATTTGTCGAGTATGTACCGTGCGCCTTTTCTCCTCAGCTCAGGGATACCAGGCCGAGCCGATGCTTTGTCTAAAATAGATTCAGGTACGGCCGAATCGCACCACACGTTCAATGGATTAAGCTTGGTTGGCACAATATACATGAGAGCAAAGTTGGGGGGGGGCTGTAATAAAAAAAAAACAAGTTGGCCTGTGCGGCGTAAAACATTTGTAGTGCAATGTACTTTTGCGGAAGGACGAGCAATACCAGTACCCGATTGCACCATAAGCGAGTACTGCAAGATGAAGTAAATTACTTAGGCGTACGCTAATAAATTTAGCTACACTCGAGGTCGGAAGCAGTTGAGCGCGTGATATCGCTAGCAGCGAGCTTAATGTCCCAACATTTACGGTTAATCTTTAAGAGCGAAATGGCCTTGAACAGGATAGGATTCATGCGCTTTCGGTATCCTTCCAGAACAAGTCTCACCGCGCCAATAGTCTTTCAGCAGACGCAGAAGCTCCCAACATGTAACGAAGTTCTCCTGCACAGTGACACGCTCTCGAGCGATCCGCTTGCGCTCCTGTAGCTCCTCGTATTAACCTCGATCTTCTGTCAATCAATGCGTCTGCGCGAGACTTGGTTTGGTAGTACGAAGGGCCTTATTGGTGCTTGTTCAGGTTCTGTCACCTTGGCAACTTTCGTGCTCAGCATCTTTACGATTGTGGATTCGAATAACGGATTGTGTACAATGCTCGCGTCGTGAGCTAGGTAGTGGCTGAGATCTGGAAAGTCCTCTAGCAGCTCGTTAAATGTTCCTCTTGCGGATGCAATAGATATCGGCATTTCTTAGCCGACACCATCTTGCACATAGAAGCGATGATTTCACCCATACCTCGCTCTTTAAAGCCCATCATGACAGCGTCAAATCTGGCTAGCGTCAGCAGCAAGTCTCTTAAAGTTTGTAGCTCTGATTATCGAGGCATCAAAACTTGTCTGAGCTCATTCAAAAGCCACTCGATCATGTGGCTAGTCGAAACCATCTTGTGCCATTGCTACGCATTGCGGCTCCGTGAGTTCTCTTAGAGCCGCAGCCGCCTTCAAGTTGGCCGTCTTGGACGATTAGGCACCAACGCTTTTAGTAACAAGTTCTGCACCAAGCTGCACCTTTATGAATCTTATGATAACAAGACTGAGTTTGGGGCAGAAGCAGCCCAAAAGTGTACCTCGACCAATGAAGCTGTTGCTCTGCTCGTGGGACAGTTGTTTACATGAAGTGTGACACATCAACACTTCGGGATACCTCTAGGGTCGTCAGAGGCCAGCCGTCGGCTGATGATATAGCTATACTATATGTGACTTAGAGTTTGTATATTTAGCTCAAGTTTAGTCTACCTTTAGATACATTCAGTTTACAATTTTTCTTAAGCTGGTATCTTCGCTCCCTTCGACATATGCGACCTGTGAACTTATGTTCACTGAGAATTTGTAAGCGCTCGGAGGCCGACTTGCTCAAACGCAAGGTGCTGTGTGATTCCGTCACCCTTCCCCCCTCCCCAAAAAGGTGTCTTGGGCCTTGCAAAAGACACGAAAGGGCGTTAATGAGAGAAGCAAAACAGCCACTGAAGCTGGTCATCTGTAAATAGGCTTTCTGAGAGGCTGCGGGCGCGCTGAAGTGTGAAAAAGAATAGCCAAGATTATAAAAGGGCTACAAACAGTAGTACACGTTGTAGGCGTGGCCGTGCAACCCGATTACATCGTCTTTTGCGCATTGAGTACCTCAACAATAGCTCATTGGGCTATAGCCTGGGTCTCCAGTTTATATTTTGTTGACTCAAATATTCAAGATATTTTTTAAATGTAGCCATTTCGGTGAATAACGTCGTAAATTCCAAAAATGCCAATCCAGACGGCTATTTCGTGTGCATTTTGTGTGTTATCCAACTGCCAACGTACCACCATCACAGCAGATCGCTCATAGCGCCCCCGCCGCCATGTTCGCGTCCAAGCTCGGCTACAAGGGCGCGCAGACGCGGTTCAACCTGTTGCTACTTGAAGACGGCGAGTTCTTCCTTGATGTACGTGTCAATCTCCCTCTTAAATCCGCAAAATAAAATACTAAACAAGCAGTAAATTCATCTCATTCCACAGGATTTCAGTGTGCACCGCTATCTCGAGCCCAATCCGGACACGCACCGGTATATTTTCCTACGCAATTTATCCTTAAATACTCCAATCTAATATTTTTTTAATTTCTTTCGAACAGTAAAGTGCAAGGACGACTCAAAATGTGCACGCGGGGCTTCTTCTTCGAGCCACAGGACATCAATTTACCCATTTTAAGGTTCTTTTTCCGGGATATGAAGGAAATGCCGGTAGCCGAGCTCCACGACCACCCTGAAGCTGGAGATTGCGCCATTTTCCTGGCCTTTAAAGTGTCCTCAACAGTGGAGATGAAGGAGCGAGGAGTCGACCACCCGTACGTCCAGAAGGAGACTAGTACGGACAAAACACGAGTGCCAGAGAAGTACATTTTCTCTCTGCTACACTCCAAGATCGAGGAGTTTTTGAAGAGTGTCAAGCCGATCTGGGAGCTCGCACACAAGAAAGGTGTCATGAATAAAGTGGACGAAGAAGCTCTACTGGAGCCGGTATTGACACCGAGACAAACGGACCAGTTCGATTCGAGCTTATTGGTCGATTTCCGTGAACGTCCGCTGCTTACAAAGGGGAAACTAGTGGATCGGATCGTGCCTCTATTAAAGTATCCCGGCTGTTTAATGCTGACGAACCAGAGGTTGTATTTCCAGCCTGCACAAGTGAATAACGTGGGGGATCCGGTGCTCAACTGGGCGTACAATACCATCGAGTACTTGTACAAACGCCGTCACATGCTCAAGCAGACGGGATTAGAACTATTTCTAAAAAACGGCGAGAGTTTCTTCTTCAGCTTTAGAAACCACCACGACCGGGATGAAGTCTACGATATGATGGTGAACCAGCCAGATCTGAAGCATTTACAGCAGACTGACGTGGAGTCGATGCTGCGTAAGTGGCAGCAACGCGAGGTGTCCAACTACGACTACTTGGTGTACTTAAACAACGCTGCCGGTCGCACCAAGAACGATCTGACGCAGTATCCAGTGTTCCCGTGGATCTTAACCGACTACCAGAGTGCGTCCATCGACTTGTCGGACCCAGCAGTGTATCGAGATCTTTCGAAACCTATCGGCGCACTTAATGAGGAGCGTCTGGAGTTCTATAAAGCACGCTATGAAGCCATGCCGCGTGGGATGGAGGACGAGGGACTGCCGCCTCCGTTTCTGTATGGCACGCACTACTCCACCCCGGGATACGTGCTCTACTACTTCGTCCGCATGGCTCCAGAGTACATGTTGTGTCTTCAGAACGGCAAGTTTGACGCCCCAGATCGACTGTTCCAGAGCATCCCAAGCACCTGGAGTAGCTGCAACACGAACCATGCGGATCTGAAGGAGCTTATCCCCGCTTTCTTCGATGATTCCATGCCTCCAGACGAGTGGCTTTGCAATGGGAAGAACCTGGATCTCGGGACCACGCAGAAGCTCACAAGAGTGCGTAGTTATGGCTCTGGATCTACGTTTTGATTTGTGTCTAATTGTGCTTGTTTGTCTTTTTTAGGTGGGCGACGTTGAGCTTCCTGCGTGGGCTTCTAGTCCGTCAGCTTTCGTTCGAATCAACCGAGAAGCTCTGGAGAGCGAGTACGTGTCGGAACATCTTCACGAATGGATCGACTTGATCTTTGGGTACAAGCAACGTGGCGAAGCTGCCATCGAGGCGAACAACCGTGAGTATTGGAGCACTCTAGTCGGTTCAATTTGACAAGTCTGACGCTTTATGTACAGTGTTTTACTACCTGTCGTATGAGGGTTCTGTGGACCTCGAGACGATCACGGATCCAGTGGAGAAATGCTCGTTTGAAGCTCAGATCCAAGAGTTTGGTCAGACTCCGAAGCTGCTGTTCTCAGGCGCCCACCCGTCTCGTAACGACGTCGGAAAAGCTGTGGCTGTTGCTGCACCGGATTTGATCCCAGCGCCACGTAAGCAAGAGGAATCAAATGGCGCAGCTGATAGCGAGGTTGAAACCCGCAGTCGAGAAGACAGCGTGCTGGACGAAAACACCTCGTACGACGAGAACGAAGACGAAGACAACACGACAGGCAATCGACGCAGTATGTTCGCGTTCCGGACTCGTTCGTTTGGTGCTGTACCCAAGCAAGCGCAGCGGTTTGTGGGAGGAATCACAGCGCAGATCCGTCGCCGCATGAGCGTGGAGTCGACGAGGCGCTGGAACTGGACGTTTGGGACTCCCGCCGATGCTTCGTCTTGGACGCCGTCAGCGCCTTATATGCTGCACGCAGGGTATGTTTGCACGTTGCATTAACGTGACGTATTATACGTCTAACGTTTGTTTTGTTTTTGTGCTAATGTAGAGAGGTTACGTCGCTGGTTCTGGGGAAAGATGGCCGTGCGTTGTTCTCCACGTCCAAGGACTCGACTTTCAAGGTCTCAGCGACTCTGGACGGCACGTTGCGACGGAATCTGTCGTGCAACTTAGCGTTATCCTGCTGTGATGTGTCGCCCGATGAGAAGTATGTCTTCGTTGGATCATGGGACAACTGCATCTACATGTACTCGATGGACGTCGGACGAGTCATCGACCAGATCACAGCGCACGACGACGGGCTCTCGGCTGTCTGTGTGTATGAAGACCGCGTACTTTCGAGCTCATGGGATGGCTCCATCAAACTGTGGCACTATACTCCCAAGGGGATCGCTACGGCTCCGTTGTCGACGTTCATGGAATGTGAGGAATCGGTGGTGAAACTCGCTGTAAGTGCCGATGGCTCCACGGGTGCTGCGGCGACAAGAAATGGTGCGCTGCTTTTCGTGTTATTTAACGTTATTTTGTACTGATATTGTGGCGTTTAATTCACTCGTAGGAGTCGTGTATTTAATCGATTTGCGCACTAGCGAATTGACCCGCAAGCTGTTTGCGAGTCCCGTACACCGCGCCGAACTCTGCGGCTTGACGTTCTGTGGTGGCGCGTCTACTGTCGCTTGTATGAGCACAGCGAACGAGCTTTCGGTCTATCAAACGGACGGCACACGAACGGTTACTATCAATGTGAACGCTGATGGACCTGTCCGGTACGTTTATATCTGTTATAAACGTTTGGAATCTGACTTAACTAAGAGGGTTTTGGGGCGTGCAGATGCTTCGATTCGGATGGAGAATACGCCGTTGGAGGAACATCTAATGGCAAGCTGTTGCTGTGGAAACTCGACGAGCCTACAGGGCAAGAACAGGTGCTGGAGATCCCGGAGGCGCACGCACAGGGGGTGTCGGCGCTCACGGTAAGTCCCAATGGCTCCGCTATTGTGTCGGCATCTGCAGACGGAGGCATTCGCATCTGGCAGCTACGCCGTAAAGCTGCTTCTCGTGGCCGTCTCCCTGCGTTCTTCTAAGGCGTAGAACACGTGGAGATACGGCTTGGGAAGTGCGTGGATATGCACAAATAAATGTTTCAGCTTGTTTAGACTTGCTACCAGTCTTCGTGATTCTCTGTTGCCATTCGAAACAAAAGCTCAAGTCAACACCTGCGGCACATATTTGCCGCACAATACCATGACAACGAGATTATTAATACTTCGATACCAAAAAATTAAACGAAAAAATACGTATCTTACCAAGATGAGCGAGCTCGAACGGTAAGTAGAATCACTACTGTAGAGAAAGAAACAACTTGGATTGAATAAATACAAACTTGCGTTTCGAGAACGAAAAGGAATTAAAGAACGCGAGCTTGCGCTGTAGAAACTGATTCAGCACGAGAAACGACGCAGTTCTCGGGCAGGAAATACGAAGATGTAGACGACGGCATAGCTCCCCCCAATTGCCAGCACCCGGGTAGTACACAACATTTGGCAGCTGCTCCAAAACGGACTTGTACGTGACATACACGATGGGAACAAAACACACTCAATGTACTCGACTTAGAGCCAGATATTCACAGTGTAATAAGAGTTGGAGACCTTGCAGAGCGACCTCTTTCGACTGTTTCCCATTTGCTGATCGTGTACAAACATGCGCTGGGTCTCTTGTTGATGAGACTTTCAAGAGATTTGGCCCAATTGGCTGAACCGAAGTCTTACGAAGAAGACGGGATACCAACCAGTCTTGATGATGATTCGGTATTGGAGCACTCGCCGTACCTGCAACGCTCTGGCTGATGCCCACGTCGATCTACAGGGAGAGGATGTGGAAGGCAAGCGTGCAATCTGGCGAAGGTGATATTGCTAGCTGTGGGGTCTCGCGTTACTGTAAGAATTATTGCTAGCAAATCTGTTGTCTCCGATTGAGAAAACCTTCGGGACGATTGGTGGTCATTGAGAATTGACACTAGGATGTTTGTAATTCCCGGAACTTCAGTAGTGTTTGTCCAAAATCGGCGGCAATGAGCAATGCAGATAGGTACAGAGATCCAGCACTTGACATACACACGGAAATAAACAGCGCACTGTAAAGATCCACCATAAAACTCACTGTTTGAGGGATGAAGTCCTCTAAATTTCGTGTGGCATTCATCATGAAGTACTTGGCGCCAAATCTCCAAATTGGCAACACAAGTACGGTGACGTTGATGGCGAGGTTGGAAAATAAAACATGTTATTATATTTTTGCTCTTAAGCTCAGTGATAAACATTGCAATACAGGACTAATAAAAAAAATGTGGTATTTTGATTAATTATTGCAATAAATACATTAGCCCCACTTTGATTTATACCTCAATTTTGTAAGTCATTAAGTATTGCAGAATATTTTACATATTTAATAAGTTTTCCGTACAAAAATTCAATGGTTAGATTACTGATGTTATTTCTTCCAGCCGGAACCAAATCGTGAAAAGCTTTATAGAAAGGATGAATCGCGACAAGGGCCATGCACACAACATAAAAGCGCTGAAATCGCCGAAGGTACGGGCGACATGGAGAAGCGTTCGTTAATGGAGCCTTGCTGAACACGAGCACAAGCGCAACCGAAACGTAAATCATAACCACCAGACCTGCAGCCTGGAAAGAGGAAATCCGATACGGCTTGATGCAGCTAACGCTGTTGCCATATTAGCCACAACGACCAAGACAGCCGCAACCAGAATTTTTAAGAATGGTGCCTCCATCGCTGGAACGAGTTTGGCCGTCTCAGAAATGTTAGTGCAAGCGATAGTGTAACAGCATCAATGTCAGTCGAATCCAGAACACCCAATCGACCCATAGGAGGGCGAAGCGGTAGACACTCCAATAAAATCACCACCAAAAGAGCAGGCAGCGGAGTGACCAGAATAAAAACTATCACTCGGGTTTGGGAAGCAACCTTGCAGTAGCAATCGAAGCTCTCGAGGCGCTCAACGGAATAGGAACCATGGCGGCCAACTTGAAGATTGTTCCACCTCTTCTCTAGGTTTTTCCACGCTGACATGTTGAAGCTGGTGGGTTCTAGCAGACTAGTTGCTATTTCAGCACAGTCAAGGTCCACGAGTTTAGTTGACCGGTCCTATTCGCAATTTGTATGTTTAAAATTAGCGCTTTTACAAACTTACAGGATTCTTCTACTATAATAGCTTTTAGTTCCCGTTGATTAAGATGAATTTCTTTTTCACGATGTATCATCAATGCATCTTCAATGATTTGTTACAAGCCAAACAAGTACAGTAAGGTAAAATGCCAGTTTAAGTCATTTGGATCAGTTTAAGGCGCACCAATAGCAGTCGTAGATGCATCTGATTGGTCATTTTTAGAGCGGCGCTCGCCTCCACGAATACCTGTCAGTTTTGATCTGGCTTCCAACCATGAAGTGTCGCACAACGTATAGCAGCAAGAAGAAGATGAAATTGGTGAGGTCTATTCGCGAGGGAGGCAACATTGAAGCTATTGGCGAGGAGAGCGGTGTTCCAGCTCGAAAGTTGTTCCGGTGGACTGGAGAGGACGTTAATTTGCGTGAGAACGGGAATAACGGCCCGTACATCTTCAGCAAACGGCGCGGACCTGATCCCACTCTGCCCAAGGAAGCCAAAAAAAGTATTTCAACGGCACACACTTACTGCAGCCATTGGATACTGCCGTTTTTTCTTCGTTCAAAAATACGCTCCAAGATCTTATTGATGCTAATATTCGAGCTAACGAGATTAATACTATCAGCAAGGAAAAGGCTCTTCAAATGGCCGCACTAGCGTGGACAAGTTGCAATTTCAACAGCAATATATCATCTGGATTTCAGAGCTGCGGCATTTTTCCGTTAAATCTTGTAAAAATGCACGAGAAGCTACTCAATTTCCAACACAACGGAGTTTCCGCTACCGTCAAAAAGGCTTCTTGGCTGCGATACAAGGAGACAGTACAGCACGATATCTTGCTTCTGCCCGGTCGCCAACAAAAGCAGAGTAGGAAAAGAAAAACCAAAACAGTGGCTGGTAGATTGCTAACGCGTGAGATGCTTCAGCAACCTGACCAGCCCTCCCAACGAAACGCGCCGAAGCAAACAAGAAAATCGCAGAGAGACAGAATTTCTACAAAAACGACAGCGAGTGGTATGCATCACCAGGACCAGGAGCTTCATCAAAAGCAATACCACGATCACAACCACGATCATAACCACGAGAACGAGCACAAACACGAAGAGGAACAAGGCATGGAGAGCGAATTGGTGCTAGTGCAGCAGCAGTCAGAAGTTGCTAGCAGTGATACGGTTCTGTTCGAGATGAGCTTCTAAATACTCCGGATTTTAATACACCATCTATTTTGATCCAAGTCAAGGGTATAATTTTACGTGGGTTCTAATCGGAATTTACAGAAATTCAACAGTACGTGCACGATCGTACATAAAAGTCTCTTGTCCATACTCAAGTCAAATTTAAAATTGTCTTAAACTGGCACACGACGAAAAAAGATGGTAATTACAAACCGCCTCTGATGGCCGAATAGTACTCAATTAATGTAATGCGCTTAATAATAAGAAAGACGAGATATTGATAATTTCAGTCGTGGTTGTTTTGTTCTCATCTTCAATGTCCGTTGAAAATTATGAGCTTTTAAAGTTGGTCATCTGTAAACTGGCATTTTACCTTACAGTGATTTCGGTTAAGGGCTCTTTGAGAAATAAAATGTTAATCCTTTTATGTACAGTACAGTGATTTCGGTTTGGGAAATAGCATTTTAATCCTTTTATGAAAAGTGCGTGGAGTAGCTCGTCGAAATGCGAGATGTGCAGCGCTGCTTCTTGGCCTGCCGAAGGACGGTTGATGCAAAGTCAACACGAGTACGCGAAGGAGGGGCAGATTCGCTTGGCTCCACGGCAAACTCCTCCACGGCCTGCTGCTCACTGGTAACCAGCGGAAGATCGCTCTGCATCTTGACGATCGCCATCTCAAAATCCGTTGAGTGGATAATACACTCGGAGTGAAGTAGGCAGCCACAACAGGATACTTAGCAGCACATGCGGCAATAGCAAGCGGACGTCCGCCATGGAGCATTTTTCATCTTGCAGCGCTTGACACAACACTATCCAGCTCCTACAGCTCACTCAGCGAGCAGACAAACGAAACCCACACCAGTGTAGGAAGTGGCCTCGCAGTAGGAATCGAAGCTTTCCAAACGCTCAATCGAATGGGAACCTTGACGATATGACTTGAATTTCGTTCCATCTCTGTTCTTGTTGACTCCATGCCGACCCCATGGCACAGTCAAGTTGCAAATGCAACGATGACAAATCTATTCCAGGCATGGATGCTCGTAAATGAGCGTTTTTTTACTTTAAAGCCCCAGAACTCAGGTTTAGAAACGCTTTGTTTGCAATTGTGCGTCTTCAAGCGGCTAAGTTTCTAGCAACTCGATGAATGATATGCATCACCCAATGCCAGCACTCATCAGATCTTATCAAAAATTAAGTGAGGAAAAAGTTGTGATGTTGTCCACGTCCCATCAACACCTAATGACAAACCACAGCGCATCATCGCCTTGCGCGCGTAGTTGATCCCGTTGCTGTCTCTCTTATTGTTTACTTCACGAACTGCTGCAGCCGCTAGCTCAAGGAGAAAACGTTTGCCGGGTTTCTTTAGCTTACCCGAGTAGCTGCCATCCTTTCGTATATTATTTTGCCACTGCTTATCTTCGATTAGCTCGATCTTCTTCTCGTTCCACATTCGAGACCACACATCCTTCGTTTTGTTGGTTGTACGGTATAGAAAACTTTTCATATTTGAAGAATTAGGCGGATAGAAGAGCGGAATTGAACCAGAAGAAATAATATGAGAAAATAAGCTGAACAATGGACACAAATATAATAATTAAAACCCAAAACTCAGGTCATGGGCAGAAACCAAACCACTTCAAGACGTGCCCAGCATAGACTAATTTTGAACTATATAGCGAAGACTAATTTTGAACTTCGTGGTTTCTACAGACCATTAATTAGTCTTCCATAGACTAATTATGAAGATAGACTAATTTTGAACGAAGACTAATTACTGTAAGTACTGTAGCTGAACTCTCGTCATTGTTATTATGAGAAGTCGCGGATTTACATTGATTCTCAATGAGTTCTAGAACCGTCTTGGCATTAATTCGCACTTCGCGAAATTCCAACATTGCTTGGCCCACATCAATTGCGATAAATAATAACGAGAGAATCAGTTATCCCGAAGTGGAGATGCAGACCGAAACAAACATTGCGCTGAAGAAATCGACCGTCATAGCGACAATGACGGGTATAAAGTCTTCCAGCTCTCGTGAGGGTAGTGCTTTGCTGCAAATTTCCAGACTGGCAGAGCAATCAGAGCGACTCTGTTATAGACATTAGGAATGGATTTATAGAACAATTTGTCGAGTGGGAAAACTGCACCAAGACTCATGTATGCGAGCAACAAGCGTAAGTATCCCCGGAAGTGAGGACGAAAAAGTGAACTCGAAGAGAATGGAGAGATCGTTCCATCTTTTCTCTAGGCGATCTCACGCTGGAAACATTGTGCAGTAGCTGTCGCTGGTTCTACAGTACAGTAGTTCAACTTGCAAGTCTTTCTCCTTTATCCCTTATTTATATAAAAGGCTCACACTCCTTTTTTCGACTATAAGAAAAAAAGTTACCTAGATGCGCCAGTTCGTACTGCAGCAAACCGACAATCTCGAGAAACAGAGCTGATTGCACAAAGTCCATTGACGCTTCAACCCCAAATGCCAACTGGTACAACGGTGAGAACGCAAACTTGTGACGAAGGAAGGAGTTCAGGAAGAAGAGCGAGCCGATTTCCAGCAGAGCAAAGATATAAATATTCGCTAGAGCAGTCATATCCCAATTCGAATTGCTAGGGTAGTAGATCGCATTGGGCAGATGCATCAGTACTATTTTGTTCGTGGCAAACACCAGTGGGATAACACACTCCACGTACTCAACCAGGGCCAGGTATTCACAGTGGAACAGCAGCTGCAAGCTTTGTACTATCAGCTCTCTAGACATTTTCCCAGTATGAATGGTCTTGTCTAAACATGCCTAGCGTTGTTGGACTCAGGAAGTATAGCTGTACCTTTCATTGTTCGACCATTTTTTTGGTGCTGACGTCGGCTCTTTCTTCTTTTGGTAATGAAGCCCTTGAGGCCGTACACACCTGTTTTGTCCAGCACCTTTATATGCTCTACTAGCTCTTGAGTAATAGGATGCGGTAGACATGTCAGAGTCGAGTGATGTCACCGAAAACGCACTGGGATTCCGAGGCTGTTATTTACAGTATAAGAGCATTTAGAAGAAGACTACATATCTTAATTTAGCAATTTGCAAATTTCAAAATTTAAAAATGCTTTCTGTTAAGATAAAAACACGATTATAAAAAATTTAACTTAATATTTTGAGTCAATCCGAACTTACGAGGAAGTCTTAGGTTCGCAGAGAAATCCTCTGCGAAGACATGTCGACCCCGCGTCCGCACCAGCGCCTGGGCGACACGGCCTGGAGCAAAATGCCCAAAGTGGTGCGTTCTCTCGCCACCCCCACTCGCTGAATCTTCTCACGCTCTCTCCTCCGTCAGAACGGCGAGTTGTTCGCGCTGACGTACGGCTCGCTGGTCACGCAGCTCATTAAGGACTTCGAGGACCTCAAAGTTGTGAACCAGCAGCTTGACAAAATGTAACAAATTACCTTCCTGTCTTGACGAGCCAACGCAACAAAATAACGCTTAGTAATTGCATTTATTCTGCTTTAGGGGCTATAACATTGGCGTGCGACTCGTAGACGAGTTTCTGGCCAAGTCTGGAGTGAGCAACTGCCAGGACTTCAAGGAGACGTCTGAGGTGGTTGCCAAGGTGGCCTTCAAGATGTTTCTGGGCATTAACGTGGAGGTTGCCCAGTGGAACACCGAGGGCACAGCCTGTAGTCTCCTGATCTACGACAATCCGCTCACAGGTAGAGCGCTCTACCTACTGGTAAATAATTCGGAGTGTCTGACAGTATTCTGTAATTTTTGCTATTGCTCGCAGAATTTGTGGAGCTGCCGCCAAGCGCGTACGGTGTGTTGTGGTACTCGAACGTGCTCTGTGGCGTGCTACGAGGCGCATTGGAGATGGTGCAGATGCGCGTAGAGGCGCAGTTCGTCAAGGACGTGTTGCAAGGAGACGAAGTATCGGAGATCCGGTCGGTGGCCTGTAATAAAGTGTCGCTGGATGGGGCTACAGACTGACAAGAATGTGTGTGTCTGTGGTTGATCTTAACCCGACAGGTTGGAGCTGAAGGGCATGATAGAAGAAGCGATGGGAGATGAGTACAAGGAAGATTAATTGCCTCCTTGACAACGAGAAGTTATTTTCTTTCGTCTTTTGCCTGGCTGACATCTGATGATGGGGTCGTGTCGGCGGCAATGACAAAACACGGGGTGTTTTCAAATAATTGCCAAAAGACGTGGTGATGGGCGTGGCTGGAATATATTTAAATTCTGTCGGCTTACTTGAAAGATGAGGAGGCCCTTTAAACGCTGTGCGCTGCACGTACAGCATTAGTCAAGGCTGCAAGTTCTCTTAGTTGTGTCATCACAAGGCGTTCGTGTGAGGCAGTGCTGACAATTAGTTACCTTACCAAATCTCCGCTATCATAATGCAAAGCCACGTGCAGTACTGGCAGCTTCTGAACTACTGCCCCACGCGTCGCCAATAGCTCTAGAGCGTACCACAGGTGCGAATGGTCTGGATGTTGAGTATTCCATCCACGCCAGTAGAAATCACCACGTTTTTTTGCCTTTGTCGATAGTAGAAATCACCACGATTTTTGGCATTTGTCGATAGTAATTTGGCGTTCGAGGTTCCAACACGCAATCACTAATCGTTCCTTAGGTAAATAGTACTTCACGTAGTATAACTTTATTCGGGGAGACACAGGTACAGCAATAAAACATCTCAACGATGTTAGGAAACGGGACGATCACTTAGTTGGACGCCATAGGATCCCATTTGACCGAGCGTCTCATTTCCAACCAGGTCAACTTCTTTTACATCTGTAGTATGTAGTAGTATTTTGGAATTGTCAACAATAACATTATGACGCTGCTTGTTCCCATTGCTATTAATAGATAATACTCACTACCTCAAGCCACCAGTACTTGAAAGTGTTCACACGGATGAATCGAACGAATTGCTGCGATAGACAACAGCACAGGGGAACTAGCCACGCTTCAACCAGTAAGATTAGAAGAAAAGTGGTGCGAGGTGCAAGTCGGTCGACAGGGTTCCTACTCCATCGAACGTCTCGAAAGTCTCGATTATTACTGCAAGACTACATCACGAACACGCGTTATTCTAGTCTGCATGCTTACTCCAGTACCCGCGTTGATTGCAGCATTGCTTCTGGAGTGTCTACCGCTGCAGTCTCCGTCGGAAGGATGGAGGGCTAACTGGATGTTCTGGATATGGTTTAGCTTGATGGTTTTCATCTTGGTCTTTATGGGGATTGCTGCATTTACGCAACTATTCCCCAACTTCGGTCTTACAGTCAGACGAAGAATAATTGTGGCGTTTGGCACGTGTGCTGGTTATGTGGGAACATGTTTGCTTGCTGTGGCAAATAGAATTGTTGGATTCCCGATACCGTTTATATGGCAAGGTACTCGTGGGACTTTTCACGCCAATTATGTTCGTGATTGTGTTTGGAGTGACTCCATTCTCTTCGAATTCACCTTTTCGTCCGCACATCCGGAGATACCTATGCTTGTTGTTCGCTTACGTGAGTCTTGGTGCAGTTTTCCCACTCGACAAATTGCTCTATGAATCCATTCCTGATGTCTATAAAGGAGTCGCTCTGGTTGCTCTGCCAGTCTGGAAATTTGCAGCAAAGCACTACGTCATGTGGGCCTCACGAGAGCTGGAAGACTTTATACCCGTCATTGTCGCTATGACGGTCGATTTTTTCAGCGCAATGTTTGTTTCGGTCTGCATCTCCACTTCAAGATCACTGATTCTCTCGTTGTTATTTATCGCTGTTGATGTAGGCCAAGCAATGTTGGAATTTCGTGAGGTGCGAACTAATGCCAAGACGGTTCTAGAACTCATTGAGAATCAATGTAAACCTGCGACTTCTCATCATTACAACGACGAGAGTTCAGCTAGTGACTCAGATACAACGGACTTATTCTCGAGAATTCTTGCAATTGCTCGGAATCCCAGTGCGTTTTCGGTGACATCACACCAACACACTCGACTCTGGGCATGTCTACCGCATCCTATTACTCAAGAGCAAGTAGAACATATCAAGGTGTTGGACACAACAGGTGTGTACGGCCCCAAGGGCTTCATTACCAGAAGAAGAAAGAGCCGACGTCAGCACCACAGAGATGGTCGAACAATGAAAGGCACAGCTATACTTCCCGAGTCCAACAACGCTAGGCATGTTTCAGACAAGACCATTCATACTGGGAGAAAGTCTAGAGAGCTGATAGTACAAAGCTTGCAGCTGCTGTTCCACTGGGAATACCTGGCCCTGGTGGAGTACGTGGAGTGTGTTATCCCACTGGTGTTTGCCACGAACAAAATAGTACTGATGCATCTGCCCAATGCGATCTACTACCCTAGCAATTCGAATTGGGATATGACTGCTCTAGCGAATATTTATATCTTTGCTTTGCTGGAAATCGGCTCACTCTTCTTCCTGAACTCCTTCCTTCGTCACAAGTTTGCGTTCTCACCGTTGTACCAGTTGGCGTTTGCGGTTGAAGCGTCAATGGACTTTGTGCAATCAACTCTGTTTCTCGAGATTGTCGGTTTGCTGCAGTACCAACTGGCGCATCTAGGTAAGTTTTTTTTCCTACAGTCGAAAAAGGTGTGACTTATTGTCAGGGGTTAACAGTATTCTCGAAAATAGTAATCTTGGGTAATACTAATACTACTTCTATTGGAGTATTACTACTATTCATACCCCTATGTACGGTATTTCCTATGAGTATTAGTATTACTCACTTGAGGCGGTACTATAGTACTTTCAGACTACTACTTTTAAAGGATCCGGAACTGAGTCCTCGTTGCAGGGAAATTGTCATTCTCCCTTTTGAAACAAAACTGTCAGACTGCTTGTGAGCATGGGCTGTGCTGTAAAAGGCTGCCAAGAAGACAATATGCTTGAGATGGACCCGTGCAGCGTGTGTGGGAAGCCCACACACCACATGTGTGCTATTGGAGTTTTCGAGGGCTCTGACTCGGCGCTGAATGAGAGGTAGCGGTCTTGATTTCATCTGGATTGTATTGCTCATACCCCTACTAACACTACATTACAGATTTTGCAGTCAGACTTGTGTTAAAGTCACCCACCCAAGTGTGAACAATCCCGTCCACACTCAATCGACGATTGGTAAGCGTCCTGCACGCCCCAGGATTGCCTCTAAAGCCCATTCATCTAGCATTTGGGAAGGATCTGACTCCAACTTCGTCCTTTCGCCAGACCCACCTTCAAAGAGCGACGATTCTTCTAGTGAGCATCCGGTCAAGCGTCGTAAGACTACTACGACAGCAACTTCAACGGTTGCTAATATGAAATCCGCGAAGGTTATTTCTACTACCCAGCTGAAAGCTGATAGCCACCTCTCGACGCCACTAGACTGCTCTCCAGCTGGTCCATTATCCGAGCTTGGTATTCCACTTTCGGTCCGACACTCCAGAAAAGCAGGTACTACAGATGAAGTATGGGATCTAATTCACACGTTGGATGTTCCATACAAGAAGCAGAACCCCTGGAAACCGTCCGTCGGAGTGTACCGCAATATTTGCCTACTGTGCTGCCAAGATATTAAAGGTCGTGTCAAAACAAATCGCTACTCTTGGGAAGCGGCCCTCCGCAATACCAAGAACTCTAGCAACGCGAAAGACCACATCAAGGCTAGGCATGGAGACCACCCGTTGGCAATCCTAGCCGAGCAGACAGCGACAGAAAAGTCGAAAGCAGATATCGCGGCCGCTGAAGCAGAGTCACAAGCGGTGTTAGATCTAACTGGGGACGCCGAAGGTGGATCTATCACTTCTACGTTAGACGGCACTGCTTCTAATGGAGGAACAGGGACAAATGTGGCGTAAAAGCGGTTCTTCCGGGCAAATGAGAAGACGCTGAACGTTCTCATAATACACAATAAGTTATTGTGTATTTTTTGTATCTTCAGGGGCTGATTTACTTTTCGATTTAGGTGGCTACGTGGAGCGATGAATTAACCGCAGAATTAGTTTCGAAACATTTTGACATGCCTTAACTTTTAATTTAAGAAAAACTTGTGCAGGTACTATCGGAGCCTTAAAAGCAGGAATGCCCAAAATACATTAAGTTGAATTGGAAGGAAATGCATAGCGCTTACACACAGACAAATTAAACAGCTGCGTAAAAGAAAACATCAAATAAATTATTGCAATATCGCAAGCATCTACCGACAAAGCTCAACCGTGGTCACGTCGTAGTAGGATGTATTCATTTTCAAGAGCATGATCATATCCAGCGTCATAGACGAGATCATTCATCTAGAACTAGATGAATGGCCTCCGCAAATTAAAAAAAATGGTGGGGCCTTAGCTGAAATAATTACCTAGTTTTACAAAATGGCAACATAAAAAGCTGGACATGTCCTAAAATGAATTATTTTACAGAAACAAATAGAAATTGTTTTTTTGTATCTATTTTTGGGCACCCCTGCTTAAAGGTGGCTTTCTTTTTTGCTCTAATTAAATTTTTAATTTAATTTTGATAAGATCTGATGAGTGCTGGCATTGGGTGATGCATAGCATTCATCGATTTGCTAGAAACTTAGCCGCTTGAAGACGCACAATTGCAAACAAAGCGTTTCTAAATCTGAGTTCTGTGGCGTTAACGTAAAAAAAACGCTCATTTACGAGCATCCATGCCTGAACTAGATTTGTCATCGTTGCATTTGTAACTTAGCTGTGTCATGGGGTCGGCATGGAGTCAACTAGAACAGAGATGGAACGACATTCAAGTCATATCGTCAAGGTTCCCATTCGATTGAGCGTTTGGAAAGCTTCGATTCCTACTGCGAGACCACTTCAAACTCTCTTGTGATTTTCATTTGTCTGCTCACTCATGTGCCGGCTTTATCAGTTGTGATTTTATTGGAGTGCCTACCACTTCGTCCTTCTTCAGAAGAGTGGAGTGCCAATTGGGTGTTCTGGATTCGGTGCTCACGATGGCTAGCACCGGCATGTCTGAGATGGCTACACTAGTTCCGGTCATGGGACTACCGTTTCTTAAAGCTTTTGTAATAGGTTGAGACGCACGGTAGATGACGACGATGACGGCCAGTACGAACTGGTCAACGACAGAAAGAACAACGCGAGGACGGGAGCTGGAGCTGACGTGGTTGCGGCACGTCTGGCAGCCTGGACCTGCGGAGATGGACGAATACGATGGCCAATAGCGGCCAAGGAGACGAAAGACAGCAGAGTGGAGCCCGGCGAGCAGTCGCTGGCGTGCGTCGTAGAAGCAGCTGACAACCGCAGCCACGAGGATTCGCAGATCCACACGGACCTGAAGGGCTCTCACTTTCGAATCGGGCGGTGCAAGACGCAACTGAAGCGAACGAACGTACTTACGAACAAGTGCACTCGCCACAGCTGCTCGGGTCCCGATAACGAACAAAGGACTCAGGTCGCTAGAAGACGCCTGTAGCGTGGACAGCGAGCCTCGACACAGAAGAACGACCGACTGTCGACGGACCCGCTGCTCGGGTCCCGATAACGAACAAGGGACTGAGGTCGCTAGAAGACGCCTGTAGCGTGGACAGCGAGCCTCGACACAGAAGAACGAACGACTGTTGACGGACCCGCTGCCCGGGTCCCGATAACAAACAAAGGACTGAGGTCGCCCGAAGACGCCTGCAGTGGGACGGCGAGCCTCGACACAGAACGAACGACAGCATCGGTGGACGCATCGAGGCTGGTAAACGCGCGGACAAGTGGACGGCGGTCACGGACAGAGTGTGCGTGGTGGTTGCAACGGCGAAGTGAGCCTGGGCACAGCACGACAGTGGTTGTGCGCGCTGACTGAAGGGCTGCGTTGAAGCAGGACGGGCGCCTGCGGCGTAAGGTCCGAGTGGCTAAGTTTGCGACGGCCTAGACTCTGGTGGAGTCGTTGTGGCAGCGGCGTACAGGAGGACGTGGACGTGAGAAGCTCGTTCGTTAACGAACGAAATAGGAACGAAACAGAAACACAAATTAATAAATAGGTCGTGTTGTCTTATAGGCACACTACCGGCGCGGGCGATAAGTTGTCGACCGTCTGCCTGCGAGTCTTGGACGTAATCGGTACTGGGCGACCAAAGCCCCGTAGCTGGGTTCAAGAAGCTATTGCATGGTGGTCATACAGGGGCGTTAATTTGACAAAGATTGACGATTGATACGAGAAACGAGTAGATTACGCAAAAGTTACGAAGTTACGAAGCTACGTGGGGTTACGTCGGAGCTCTACATAACGGCGAGAACCAAAACGGTGCAGATATCGGTGACCCCTGGCGGAATGGTGACGCCTTCGCAGTCTCCAGGAGTGACAAGATCGGCGCCGACAAAGACAGTATCCAAGATAACGAACCCAACGACACAGCCGACGATGGTAATGGTGTCCTCGGACTCGTCAACAGGTACAGCAGCGCCAGCACGACGACAGGCGGCCTCGGAGAGTCAGCGACCAGCAACGCCAATGGAACAGGCGGCAGTGGACTCTGCGGACGGTGTCCGGCAAGCAAGAAACAACGAGCCTGACGAAGCGCATGACAATGAAGACGACGTGCCACGGGAACCGGAAGCAGTACATGGTACAGCAACGCGCAACCGACGTGCGACGAACACGGATGGAGTCGATGGTGATGCAGCAGTGCCGGTGTCGAACGCAGCGGCACTGGTAACAGCGATGCAACAACTGGTTACGACGATGGCACGGCTCGAATCACGAGACGGGGCCATGGAGACGACGCACGTAGCGCCGGTGGCACCAGTACAACGATCAGCAGCTCCCGCGCAGGAGTCAGCGACGACGATAGTACAGCAGCTGGCGCCGGCACGGCGATCATCCTCACCGCCAGCAGCACGAGTAGCCCAAGCGGCGGGGGACGATGGACGAGTTCGGGTTGCAACTGGGACAAGGATGCCACGCAGGCCTCCCTCACCCAGCGATAGCAGCGACGAGAGTGATGATAGTAACGGAGGGCGCAGCGACGAACGCGGGGGACGGAGAAGATTCAGCACCGACAGCGACGACAGTAGTAGCAGCGAGAGTAGCAGCGAAGACGACCAAAGTGACGATGGACGTCAACGACGTGAGCGACAGCGCGGAGTCCGGCGAGTGGCGGCACACGCAAGCCCACCACGACACCGACGACGCAAGAAGAGTATCTAGGACTTGGAGCTGGCGCCGTTCAAGCCTTCTCCGACGGTGTCAGTCTCCACTTGGATTGCGAAGGTCGACTTGGCTCTTGAAGGTGCACGGGTTTCCGGTCGAGGCGATTGGACGGACGCCGAGTTGTACTACATCCTTGGCAACAAGCTTCAGGACAACGCTGCGAGGTGGTGGGTCCAGATGGATAAGGAGTTGCCAGTGACGGAGCGCACGTGGACGAAGTTGAAGACGTCGTTGCAGCGTCGGTACGGCGAGCGACCTGACAAGTCTGCAGCAGAATGGCGAGTGAGTCGACGAAGAATGGTGCCGGGAGAGACCTACGCCGACTTCGCGGCTGGCCTATAGGATCTCGCTGGACAAAACAGGATTAGTGAATGGGTCTTGTTGGCACAGTTTTACCGCAGCCTGGATAAGACTACGAGGCAGCTAGTAAAGCAGCGACCGAAGCCGAGAAAACTTGAAGAAGCCGTGGATAAGGCGACGGAGATCGATGACCCAATCGACAACGTGGCGCAGGGTATGCATAACATCGGGCAGCCGTGGGCGACTGCTCCGAACCCCTATCTGGTCCCCATGGACGGCACAACCGGACAAGTATTGGTGATTCCGGGTGTTGGCGGTGGAGCCAGCGCCGGGGACGATGGCAACTTGATGGTGAAGCAGGACGGCGAAGACTTAGCCTACTTCACGAATCCACAGGGCGTCTGGAACAAGTACACGGGCACGTGGGACGTTCCAGATGGTCGCACGTGGAATGGGAGTTACTGGAAGCCCACACGGAAAGAACGACGACAGCAGGCGATGACTGGAGCGCAAACTACCGGCAAACGCCCGGCTGGCAGAGGAGATCGGAAAGCTAAGACGATGATGGTACGACAACCACCCGAGTCCAGCGACGAATCGGAAGCAGATGCTGAACCTCTCCCGCCACCGAAACGCAGACAGAAGGAGGCGCCCATCCGGCAAGTGAAACCAGTAGAAGCTCGGACGGAGAATACGGACGGAAGAGTAGACAGGCGACCGAGCGAGGTGAACAGGTGCTATGCGTGCGGCCAGGCTGGCCACTTCGCCAAGGAGTGCACCGATTCGGCTGCCAAGGCTCGGAACGACGCGTATCTCACGGGACGTGAATCGAAGGCGAAGACGGCGGAAAACGGAGAGCGGACGCAGTAGGGGAATTACTGTGTCCGAGGTGAAAGACGAATTCCCAACGTAAGAACGATAGTAACGACGAAACGGGAGATGCAGTGAGCACGACCTACGGGACGGATGAAACGAGGGGCAGTAACAGTGCGGTGAGCGAGTCGGGTACGAACGGTTCAACGTCGAAGACAGAGACAGACGACTCCGGCGCGAAACACGACAAAGAGACGACACCGGACGCAGATCGAGAACGGCGAGAAAACCTCGGCGACGAGAGCGACACACGAAATGACGCTGTTCTGGACGAGGAAGCACTGTTGCGCTTACGACTACGTGAAGAAGCTAGAGAGCGAGACGAGTGGCGTGCACGGTGCTACGTAGACACGGTACGGCCCGCCATGGCCGCACTTCGATACGCATGCGCTAGAACAGCGGTGAGAGATGGAGCTGCGCAGACTGGGCGGCGACTTTCAACTGGGGAAGGCGACGAGGCGAAGAATGACGTATAGTCGCGTCTGAGGAAGGCGTGGCGGCGATGAGAACAGACGACGTCGAGGACGTGCCTGAAGAACGCGTGGCGGCAGAGACGACAAATGCTGAATCGATGACGACCGTGCAGCTCGGGCTGGAGCTGACGGACGAGTTATTAACGGATCTGGGCAGTGTTGCAAAGGTCCGGACGGTGGTAAAGCGCGCTCGACGTGACGCGAAGCGTCGACGTGCGCAGCGAGCACTTCAACGCAAACTTGCGGCCGGGGACGACGAAGTCAGTGTGCTGGTAGCCGCACTCGACGAAGAGCAGCATGTACGACGACGACAGCAAGCAGATGAGGCGCAGAGCGAGTTGGTGAAACGCCAAGACCGACGACGGTGTGAAGACCAGACCCATGCTCAACGACGAGAGCGGTGCGCGCAGGTACGGCTTGTGCAACGGGCGCAGGACGATAAAGTGACGAGCATTGAGGTTGAAGACGCAGTAGTGGCGGCCGACGATGGTCTGCCTACAGCACTGATGGACGTGAGCGGGGCCCGTTACGAAGTCAAGCTGGATAGCGGTGCCAGATACTCTGTGGCTGGTACGGCATGGATGGCGCGTGGAGATCGAGTTCGTGGCGCTGCACCTGTCGACTACGTGGAAGGAATCGGTGGATTTCTCCTAGATGTCATCGGTGTATGGAGGTTCGAGATGCGCAATGCATTTGGTCAGATAGTACAATTGGAGGCGTGCATTATCGAGGGCTGCACTGACGAGTTTCTCATCGGTGTAGACTTCATGAAAAGACATAAAGCTAACATAGATTTCGAACAACACGAGATCAGATACTACGCGCGCAAGCAACTGGTGGTGATTCCGTTTAGAACGAATGGTCTTGATGGGACGCCCACGGTAGCGACGGTGAGACTAGTTCGACGCGCGCAATTAGTAAGGAACGCAGTTACAACGTTGGAGATCTCGGTTGCTGCAACGGACGGTGAAGAAGGCATCTTCGTGCCAAATGACGCGTGCGGTGCAGTGCTGTTGGCTGCGACCATGACGACTGTGAAGAACGGCAAGGCGTTGGTCCCTGCGATCAACATGCGTAATGACAAGACGAAGCTGCCGAGTAAGAAAGAATTAGGCAAGTGGGTACCGCTTGACGCGGACCTGAACGTACTAAGGCTGAACGGCGAACTGGGGCATGAACGGCTGGGCGAATGGTTGGAGACGCTTGGTGACGCGGCGACTCTACTGGATAACGAGAACGAAGCCGATATACGAACGGACGAGAATCATGAACGTGCATTAGTGCTAAAACGTTTACGAGCATATCGAAATGTAACGACGAGCGCGGGCGATTGCCCACCGGTGACGAAGCTGGACGTGCATCATCATATTGACACCGGAAGCAGTGCGCCAATCATGCTCAAAAGACGACGGCAAGCTCAGGCCGAAGACGCCATTGTAGAAGACAACGTGGCTAAGATGTTGGGAGCAGGAGTGATTGAAGAAGGTAACGGAGCCTGGGGCTTCCCCGTTGTCCTTGTTCGCAAAAAAGACGGAGAAGTCAGATTTTGCATTGACTACCGCGCTCTGAATAAGGTGACTAAACGTAACGTCTACCCTCTACCCCGAATCGATGAAACGCTGGAAGCGCTCGGTGGTTCGTTGCTGTTTACGACACTGAATCTTCGCTCCGGCTACTGGCAAATAGGAGTGGCGCCGGAAGATCGAGATTAGACGGCATTTACGACTAAACAAGGGCTTTACAGGTTTAAACGCATGCCTTTTGGTCTTATGAATGCGCCTTCGACTTTTCAACGAATGATGAACGGAGTGCTACGTGGCCTGACGTGGACTTCATGTCTAGTGTACCCGGATGATATTGTGGTATACACTCGAGGTGGAATCAAGAGACATCTAGTGCAATTGGCTACTGTACTAGAACGACTATCGACAGCCGGGCTCACGCTTAAACTCAAGAAGTGCGTGTTT